ACAGAAAACAAGCGCATCACACCAGAGGTTACTATCTCTATTAGCAGCAGCATCAGAAGCAAACACAGGCTCATCAAGTGCAAAAACTGAGGCTCAGCTCCATGTACTAGTGCCAGCACATCTTCCTAAGAGGTTCAGGCCAGCATTTGGTACTTGTAATGCAGACCTACTGAGGAACTTTGACAATTTCATCATGGAGGAAGACAAACAACTAGAAATAGTGGTAGGTTAAAACTGCTGCATCTAGACTCATCTGCAGCCCTAAATTGCACTTTTGAGTCCTTCACACAACAGCTTAGGAGTGCCTAACATCCCCACATTTTGAAGCCATTGTCCCCAGGAGTAAACACCATACAAGCCATTAAACCAAACATGGGTTTGCTCATTTCTTTAAACAGCACATACAAATTTCCTTGCAAGCTTTATTCCTCTCAAGCCCTACCACCTCCACCTCTGCCCTGCCAGCCTCGTGCTGCTCTCCATATGGATGTTACAAAACACTGTACCAGCCCTTTCTCACCAGGTCAATCTTCACAAGCCTGTCCCGCCCAGAGATCCCAAGTGAGCAGATTCCCACTGGGGGAGTATATCCCCCAAACAATACACTATGCTTGTAAATTACAGGTATATGCACTAATTACAAAGTCTGTACCAATGTATGCGACTAATTCATCTTAAAGCTGCCAGTCTTTTGAAGATGATCAGAGGCAGTCAGACTTGAGGGGTGGACTGCATGGTGTCTGAGGTTCGGATCTGATGGTAGCTTTTTTCTGCAGTTGTGTTCCTCCTGCGTCTCAAACTGAAGACCAAAAGAGCTCTCACTCTCCCTCACGCACAGGCATGCTTCTCTCTTCAGCAGTTATTTGTAAAGAATCTGTAGTAATACTATGCTTTTTTGAGGACTTCTTGAACTAAGAGGTTCCAAATTTACAAGAGCAAGTAGTAAGTTAGCTAGAGGAAAGAAAAAGGGAGGAGAGGCAGGGAGGGAGAGACAGACAGGAATTCTAAGAGTTCTGGTTCAACTTCCTCAGTAATCCTGGGTAGTCTTGGATCTACTTCACTAGATTTAATCTATTCTAATGCAAATATCCACACCTGGTCACCTGGAACAGCAAGATGTGGCAGCTTTACACAGACGCTGTGCAGCAATCATATGCCAAACATAACACAGTAACTATAAACATTGCAGCAGTATTTTCAGAGTGATTTCCCAAAAGACAAAATCAGTTTCTATCAACAACAAAGACAATGTTTTATTGAACAAATCTATGTACAGTACAAAAAAGTTTTTAAAATGAAACACTACTGTTGATTTATTGCAGTTTGATGGCTCAGTTTTAATTTGTACTCTTATATAAAATGCAAAATAATTTAACATTCAACAAGGAAGCACAAATTTCCTTTCTTGCTGAACCTGTAACAGCGTTTACAAATTAAGAGTCCCAAAATGCATACATTGCATTTAATCAGAAAGGTGTTATACAGTACCAAATAAATTAAGAAAATAGTAATACTACCACCCCCTTTCAGTCTTTTGTCCATAGCACTGGTGTTAAAACAATAAAAGAAATGAGTACAGCTGAACCTTCAATGTGATATTAAAATCACAAAGTTTAATGTTATAAATTATCCAAACTATACAATTTATATAGTTTTAATGAATATGGCTAAATAACCAAAGTACCAGTGACCTTTCCCCACAGATATGACCACTTTCAACCTACTTTTAGTACTTCTTTTTTTGCAAAAGGTGCCTTCCAAGCGGCAGCTCTTTGAAAATTAGAACTTACATGACCTTTACAGTGAACTGTGATCGGGTTAGAGTAGACAGTCTTAAAAGGAAAGTCTAAATCCAAGTTACAGCCACCTGGAGGAATGTTATTAGAATACAATTACCAGCAATGAAATGCAGAGACTTTGATCCAACAAAGCTCCTAAGCTCATGTGTAACTTCAGGCAGCTTTAAGAGATTTGCAGGCTCACATTACACATGTACTTCCATATTTATTGAATCAAGGTGACACATCTTGGAGAAGTATTTTCAATGCTTAATGCCTGGGTGAAAAAAAAACTTTCAATTTTAGATTTGGAACCTTTTTCAGCTCTAGAAGCTGCAGGCTTAATGCAGGGTAATACTCAACACACTAAAGAACCCTTAAAAAGCATGTAGAGTTATCACCCACACATTAGAAGTATCTCTTTGCTCATAATTAAAGCTGCTTAATACTGCAACTATCTGAGAACACCAACAGGTATCAGAGAGTAGTTTGAATGAAATGCAATGTCTTTTGAAGTACAAATCATAACTTAAACCAAAAATGTTACCACCCACTTGCTACTTGAAGTCAATTCAGGGTATTTCTGACAGGTGTTAGGTGATGCTGATGTCCACCTACAGAAGAGTTCAGTTTTCCAGTTCTCCAAAGTGTATATACTGAACACATAGTATAAACAAATGGGGGTGTCCAAGAAAAGCATCTTTGAACAAAAATTAGTTTAATGCAGGTACAAAAAATTATGGTCACAGTTTATGCATGTACATAGATGCATTTATCTACACACTTAAAGAAAATACAAGTCTCAATCATGTTTTTAAAGCATCTTCAAACACATGGAGCTCCAGGAAAAGGCAAAAAAGCACCAAAGATTAAGGGTACATTGAAAAGACTTTACACAAACATTTTTGTAGTATCTATTGACTGAATTTTCAGATTCTTCAAACTGTAATACTTTAACTTTTTTTTCTTTTCAAATATATTTAAGCAAATTTATATAGATTAACAAAGTTAGGCAAAGAAAGGGGAGCCTGGGAATTTAATATAACTCAATATAACTGGGTCCTTAAAAATTAATTGAAAGCAAAAAACTGTGAAAGTGCATTTGACTGATAAGGTCCCCATTAATTTTAAGTTTTAAAAACTTTTAATGTATTTATACATGTAAATATATATATAGTGTGTATATACGTACATATAATGAATGATGCATTTAAATCAGGTTTTTTGCAACTGCAAAAATAATTCTTTGGTGCCTCAAATGTCACACAAATCTCAAAGTGGGCCAGTCATAGGTATTAATGTAATGCACACATACCTGTGATCATAATTTTATAACCTTTAATGTTAAGCCAACTCAAAGTTAAGGCAAGAATGTTCTACAATTCAGAAGAGTATTATTTTGAATTTGCATTCTTTTTACCTCCCAGGAGGGGAAAAGGAAACAGATTTAATGCAAATATCTGTTTAATTTCACAGAGGATTATTAGCAGAGGCATTACTGAACTATTAAGTTCCAGAACTACTTAACAGCCTATTTTACAATGAATCTCTTAGTTTTGTAAGTGTGAGCCATTGCTACAATGAACAGATCTTTTATGTACCTCCTGATTTTTTACTAATTAGATTTTACATATCTGTTGATTTAAGCAAGTTGATCATCTTACTATGCCATACAAGCGTGGTGATGAACTATTTGGTAAGCAAACTAGCTGAGCAGGAATAGTTGGTTTTGGCTGTCCTACATTTCTGTGATGACTCTGCCAGTACACACCAGTTTTTACCACTACACTTTCCGTGCCTACAGTCACATTAAATTTTTCAGTTACCCGCATAGAACAGGATCCCAAATAAAACATTTTTAGGTGGCAAGACAGTGTAAGATAAATTAAATCAGCACAGTAATTAGACAACGTGCATGTTTGTCACACCTCTGTTTGGGGTGGAAAGACCAAAAACTACAACAGCACCTTTTTTGGTTTCCAAATGTCCTGTATTTCAGTGTTACATATAGAGCTGAATGATTCAAATTTCCTGTCTTCACATTCTGATTGTTTCTGTGAACAGTGAATGTTGGATAAAGTGCTTAACATCTAAGCTAACACCTTCACTAACTTCTGGGAAAGGCTATCTTTTCAAGAGATGCTATTAGATAGGGTCATAACATGTCTTAAGGTTGACTCAGTATGTATTTTCTCCCTTCCTCTAGACAGTAAATAAATAGTTACAGTACTGAGTTGCAATCTACCACCATTGAGCAATATCACATGTGAAACAGGCTCTTCCTGATCTTTTCCAACTTGACATGTGCTCTGCTTCTGTCTGCCCTCCCCCCCTGCCCTTTTTAAAACAGGAAGCCATCTCAAGTTCTTTTCGGTCATACAAACAGCTGAAGGACCTCTGTATTTTCATGCAGTTAGTTTAACTCTGCTCTGTAATGCAAGCTTAAGCCCCTTCACACATTCCGTATTTGTTTCAATCTGCTTCTGTTGACATCCACACAATCTGTGCATGTACTGCTTGTATTAGTCTTCCTGCACCTACCAAAGATGTTTTACAGGACACACTTGACACACTTAACACATGCCTTTACCATAGCCTTGCAAAGGGCTTCTCTTGCATGCATCTGATTTCCACTGTGCCTAACTTTCACACTTAGTATCGCATTGACCTTTCCTTGCACACTCTGTACTTCAATATTTTGGCTATTCCAGCATTCCATCCATCTTGGATTTCTTTCTACATTCCTCTTTTTGGATTCTGAGTATAAGTTTATTAAATAAGCTCCATACTTTTGGGCAGATAATGGAATCAAATACTCAAACTTTGAAAAACGAATGCATGGGTCCTCTACACATTTTTTATCCATATTATACTAATGTAACGCTTTCTTGAATGATTCTTTCCCAGTTCTGTGGGTGGATACCCTTTAACCACGTATTTTCCAACTAAAGCAGCTTTCAGAATTGGCTGGTTTTATTTCCATAGGGCAATTAACACCTCTGCTTTCTCCGCCTGCTCAACTGTATGCCTTATTTTCCTTAAATCTTCATGCTAGAAAGACTGTGCCACTAAGCTTCAATCACACATTGGGAATGAATGTGGCTTTTCGGATAACTGGTACTTTGGGGATTTTGTAGCAACCTTTCTGGACTAAAGACCTGCAGAGCTCCTATTATTCCTCTGTGAGTTTTGTTTAGAAAATGTGCTTTGTCTTTATCAAGGTCATGTTCTTCTTCAGTAATTTGAGACTGCTTTATGATTAAGGCCAACTGGGAAACGAACTGATGCTTCTTCATGTAGTGTTTTCTTACACCACTCCTCGTTTGATACATTTTCCCACAACATCGAATCAGGCACCTGTAAAAGAGAAGGCACTGGGATCAAAATGAAAACTAACCAATGTAAATCATTCCTTAATCTAGAACACTGCTTATGTTTTTCAACATGTTTAGTTTCAAACTTGCAAGGAAAGACAGACTCAATTAGCCCATTCTGTTTTATGAGAAGCCTTTTCCATTAGAGTTGCCTAACAATTCTCACTACCCCTTTCTTAACTCTAAACAACATGTTCAATTCTAACCGCCAATTTAGCACAGTGTTGTGATATAATTGCCTAAGTTCTGGCATACTACAACTACTTGGAAGTTATGTCTGTCTTATCTACTCCATCAGGTTGCCTGTTTTCAAAGATCATTTTCTGATTGGCATTTACCTCCAAACAAACCAATCCCGAAGGAATGTAAGACTTACTTTCGTCATCTGAATCGAATCCAAAGAGCGTCTGACATTTCTTTTGTGCAAGGTGAGCCTCAAGTGCTTCTGAATTACAGTAGATGGTCAAGCAGTTGCCACATCTAAATCTTTCTGTTGATTTGCTACAAATTTTATCTTGTTCAGAATAAGCATCTACTTCATCAGCCAAAATTTTTCTACGTTTTGGCATGCTAATGTAGCGTTCGTCAAGATAACTTGGAGGCAATGGTCTAACATAGGGTTTTGTTAAGATGACACCATATGAAGTATTCTCTGTTGTTGGATTTGGTTTAGAAGGTAATTGCGAGGCAGCAGCATTATTTTGTGGTGTATCACTACAATTCTGTAAAACTGGTAACACTGACCCATTTTCTGTCCTTGTTTCGTCTGCCACTCTGTCCAAAGGTATTTCTGATGACTTTGATGAAGTCTGATCTACGTCACTGTGCCCATTGACCAGTTGGTCACTAACAGCATTACAGTTTTCAGAATTCGGCTGTAACACAGGCGTCTTTTGGTCTGTCAAACTTAAAACTGTAGTGCCACCCTCAGATGAACTTTCATTTCCATTATGAATTACATTATTTGCTTTCTTCTCAACACTTTGAATGTATGTCTTTGGTTCTGTAGAATCCTTCCTTGACTTCCAAGTTGGAATTGGTAAATCTACAGTTTCTTTTTCATTAACAGATTCATCATCATCTTGGAAACTACAAAGTTCTGAAGGATCATCTGAAGACTCTTTTTCACTTGCATCTTCTGAACATTCTGGTGTTTTATTTAAATAATGCTGAGCCTCATGTTCATACAGCAAAGGGAGCTCCTCAAATAGCTCACAGCACTCTGCAAAATTGCACTGCGCTTTAAAAATACTATGACTTTTTGTATGTTCTGCAAGCTCAGTTGACAGCTTAAATCTCTGATTACAATTAAAGTGTAAACAAAAGTAAACATTTGGATACACGTGTCTCTTCAGGTGGTCTATAAAATGTTGGGAATCAGCAAATTTTCTCTGGCAGAACCGGCATTTTCCTTTATTCCACTTCATTATATGCTGCTGCACCTTCAAATCAGTTGGATGACTTTTTCTTGCATGTTTATTGAGGAATCTTATCTTTTTAAATACTCTAGCACAACCATTAGCAGGGCACTTAAAGCTTCCTTCCTCATCCATAGCATCAATATCTTTTTGAGAACCAAAAGCTCCATTCACTTTATGCAGAGTAGGTGATTCTTTACTGGAACTGTCATCATCTTCAGGCAAACTTTCAGTACTTAAAGCATCAGGAACATTATTAAAACAGCTGTCACTACTATTTTCAGTAGCATCATCCTGGTCACTTAGATGGTTTCCCACCACAAATACCTGTTGTGTGTTCTGCTCCTCCACTTGGACCACTTGGTCAACACTTGGTGCTCCTGCAGTCTCTGGTTCGTTATCTTTGGAACCATCAGAATTCCCATTTTCAAGAGATGGAGTGACATCAGAACATTCTACTTCATTAAGAACAGAAGCCTGCCGACCAGCCTCAAGAACTGCAGCAAGATGTTGCCTTTCTATCTTCCTGACATGATTCTTTAAGTGCTTCAGCATAAGTCCTTTCTGCCTGAACTTTCTGGTGCAAAGTACACAGGAAAAACTGCCTTTTTTTTGGTGAGCTTGTGCATGTTTTACAATGTGACCACCAAGAAATTCCTTGTTGCATATCACACAGCGGTGCCTTGGTACAGTTTGATCTAACATTTCAGATGCCTCAAGAGCTTCATCGTTCTTTTTGGCATTACCTTTGGACTGGGCTTCAGAGAGGTCTTCGGGGTCAAGCTCCCCATTGCTTACATCTGTTAAACAGACACGCTCGTCACCCAGAGCTCTATACTCTGTTATCTTCTCTGTATTTGCAGTAGAGTTTTCCAGTGTATTTTCACTTAAGCTAACAAAGGCTTTATCTCCCAACAATGCTAAACAATTCTGCTTGATCATCAGGAAATTCCAAAACTCGGGATCAAAAAACAAACCTTTTTTCAAAATTGGAAGTAGTTCAAAACGTACACGGTTTTGAACAGAACTAGTGCACTCATTGTATTCTTCATCTGCACATTTATATAAATGTTCAACAGTGTAGTAAGATTCCAAGGTGCGCTCAAGAAAAAAGATTGAAAGAGCACAAATTCTGAGGATCTCTAAGTCATTTGGCAGAAAATGAGCAATTGCTTTATAAATAAGACTTTTCATGTTGGGATCTTCACGGAGGTCCAACTGTAGGGCACAACCACATATCTCAACACATATCTGAAGACCATCATCACCAACCTGCAGGAAGGAAATCACAGTATACATAATTATAGAGTATGCATAATGGCATTTCCCTTATGGGCTTACAGAACTCTACAGCTTAAAAGTAAGATAAAAGAATCTGATTCACGGGGGGAAAAAAAGAGCTAGTATAAACAATGCCCAAAAATCAACATTCCATGTATTTATACCACTATAAGTTCAAAACAGCAGTTCAGAAAGCATCCTGCTAGCAAATTTCACCTAAAAGCATGTATATTTTAAAATAATGCTCAAAGAAGACTATAAAATACAGGTACAAAAATGCCCCAAAATAACATCTGCTTCGCACTGAAAGCTATGCAGTTACTACCAGCAAAGCTTCAGATACTTTTGCCATGTGCAGTACTGTAGTTAAAAGACAATTAATTATTTGGGCATATAAAACAAGACTGCCACAAATCATATCTGTTCTAGCAGTATCCTCTGTCTGCATCTTCATTGCCTAGGCTGTTTCACACTATAATTGGACAGTTACGCTATATTTTGTCCGTGTTCTAACTCATTTGATTTGCACTGCATAAAAATACAAGCTATATAATATTGCCCTCAATTTTGAACAATAACCAGCACAGAAAACTTAACAACCCATGGCTAGGCATTCTAAAAGGCTTGAGTCTTCAGAGTGACTGACTATCCTTTCAATGAGCAGAATCCCTATTCCACACTTCAGGCTGCAGGCACTCCCATTCAGATGGATGATCAGAAACATACTGCCCAACAGGTAGCAGATTAATTGTGAAAAGTGTTTCAGGCACTTCAAAAATTAATACCCACCTAAACGTAAATGTGCATTAACAAATACACACAACGCTCCATATGTAGTAGGTTATTTAAAAAAATATCATACAGATGAATATACAAATAAAAGTTATTCATTTCACCACAAGTGTTTCAGAATAGATACTGAGATTAAAATCTTGAACAGCAGCAAACCATTTAATTTAGAACCCTACAGCAGCACCTGTAACAAAATACTCTGTAATTCACTTAGGGCACAGAATACAAAGGAGTCATTTGGAAACAACTCGCATGCCTGTATGCAAAGTATTGCACGTGACATCTTCTGCACATGTTTGTATGGGACAGTCTAAGCCTAACACCTGAAGCATGAAACACAGCACACTTTTCTGAAGCAAAATTATGTCTTCTCCTGTTGTAGTCTAGCTTTTCCTTTATGTTACATTAAGCATTTCTTCAGATTTGGTTAGAACTGGTGAAAAGATTCAGAACTTGACGAGGGTGAAAGGCAGATAAAATGGCATTATACAAGTCCTATTTCCTTAGAAGCCAGGCTAAGGATCCACAAAACAGTCCACTGAATCTTTCACATTTACTCCATGTATCTGCTATTAACTTCCCCATTTATTTATAGGGGATGACATTCCTCAAATTTCGTACAGCAGAAAGAAAAAACCTTAGAATTCAGCCAAAAAAAACCCCAAAAAAACCCACCTTAAAAAAACACACAACAGATCAAGGGCAATCATAATACTAATGTGCATTCTGGAACTTGACAAATTTCTAAGAGAATATTGTGTTCTTCCCTACCCCCTCTTAACTTTCCACAAAAAGTGGCCATTACACAATATAAACATCACTCCTCTTTAGTTACAAAAAGAATGGGGGATAGGGTAAAAACAAACAACCAAAACTTACTTCATCCTTAATGACTTTCATGAAAGGGAAAATTACTCTGACATTTGTTGCAATTCTTAAAAGCTGGTAGCACTGGTCGACAAATACTTGTTTTGATGGGTTAGATTTAAGCTGCAGTTTACTCCAAATGAAGATCAGGTCCCTATAAGCACAGAACAAAATATTTCATAGTTAGATTGAGTTTTAGAACTCTATCACTAAGCATGATGTATTACTAAGAACAACTATTTGCATATTCTATAACAAAAATTATATTTGAGGGTGTAATACCAAACTAATTAACATCACAACTGTACACAATGTGCACAATGGAAAATGCAACTTAATTACTTTGTTAAAGCATTCAGGGTATCTCCTATCACTGAGTCAATTAAATATTCAACAAAATATTAATGTATTCAGCTTAGTATCAGAGAACTGCATAATAAAATCAGATGCTACAGCATCTAGCTCTTAACACCACAGGCAATAAACGTCAGGCTAAACAGCGAGCTCTGTGTGCTCTTGGGATTAAGTTACTTTCAGTGCAAGGATAAGGAGTCTTTCAGGAAAAGAAGCGTTTGAAGGTGGCAAATGGGAGCGTTGTAGAAAGCTAGCTTCTGTTACGGTCCACTGACAGGAAATATTGATGTTTTCCACTTGTGCGTTTTACAACACGATTTTCTTTTCTTACTGCTGTCATCACTGCTCTTTCTAGCCAACAGCAGCTACATGAGAGTGTCAGTTTCTACAGCTATTCATGCATCTCTCTGATCTTCAGTCAAATAGCATTTCTGACTGATAGGAGAAAACATAAGAATAGATTGCTAGACTCTGCAGCAGAGCTCCTGCACGGGTAATGTGTTTAGTCTATAAAATACAGCTAATTGAAATTTTCAGCCTGTAAGTTCTATGCACTTTAATTCAGAGACTTGGAAAAGGTAACTGGACTTAACTTTCAGGTACAAGAAAATTTGCCAGCACAAAGATTTTACAAGGGAGTAGATATAGTCAGGACTAGGCAGAAATCCCACCATAATGTTACAATGAAAACAGGGGACAAACTGACTTCCATTTTCTGAAGGAAGACGCTTCTTTATTCCACCAGCCTCCTCCCTCAGAAAACACTAATGCAGCTACTAACAAAATGATTAACTGATCTTGTAGAGTCTCTAGTCCGTGTGAGATACAAATCAGACAAACCTTTTGAAATTAAGCTTGTCTAGTGAGGTCAGTGCCAGCATGAAGGGAAATGACAGAACTGCCCGTGACACAACACCAACTTCGCTTTTAAATTTAGGACAGCTCTATAATTCTGCTTGACATTTTAAGGGCTAGACAAAAGAACTTCATTGTTTTCTTTCATTCAGAACCCAAGAAAACTGAAGTCAAAAGACAGATCAAGTTTACACGGGGAAAACTGTGAAAAGGGAGTTCTATAAGCAGCCCTACTCACAGAAAAAATCAGTCTTTCAGGTTTTCTAAATATACAAGATATTCAACTCTGCCTTTACCAGGCTGAAATCAAAATGCGTGAAGTCTTTGCAAACTTCACATACAAGTTGGAAACTTTTTGCACCAAACCATTCAAAAAATTCAGTTAAAGTCTCAACCTGAAGTACAAAAGAAAGAACTGAGCATTTCTGCTGTTAAAAGTTACCAAAATTAAATACTACAACTTATTCTCTGTTTTGCCTCACCCCATTTCAGAGCAACCCATTTCAACACTAATCCCAGGGAAACTGAGAAAAGTCAGATTATTCTTCTGAGAGATCAGTGGTTAAAATGGCTTGTCATGTGTTTGGACAAGCTGGTACAAGGAAAGAGCTGAAAAACGAATGGAGAAAACTCAAAGTAGAAGGAACAGCTCCGTGGTGAAGAACAAGCTGTTAATTCAGTTGAACCACCATGTGACTAGACCCTGATGTGAAACAGAAGTCAGCAGCATTTGAGGTATTTCTGTGTCACTGACCACAAACTTGAGATAATGTAGGCAGGGGCAGTTTTCCATCTGCTTGATTATTATGGCACAGTAATATACTACTTAATGACATTTACTTGTTGGATAGTCTAACTTAGTTCACACTGAGGTCTGTGCTTAAACTGTTATAGACATCTGCTGGACCAATTTAAATTGTTACTGTGAAATCACAGAACTCTGTAACTCTTTACCAGAGGCAACCAGCCTGTTAGTCCCCTACAAAATACCACAACTGTGTGCCTCCATCAGCAACATAAAAGAACAGTTAAGCCCGCCTTGCCTTAGCTAGATCTAAAACTTTACTATTGTTGACAAGAAGAAAGTCTATCTTTCCTTGGTTATACATAGCACTTTAACAAAATGTTATCCAGTTCACAAAAACTACCTAAATGCAAAAGACTTAAACATGGGGGGAAAATTCTTCAACTTATTGAATTTACTAATTAGGAAGCACTTGAAAACAGACAAAACAGCATTTAAAAATTGCCTGGCAAAGAAGGCAAGCCATTCTGCTATGCTTGTTCCATCAAAATCTCGGCTGTCTTCCCGAAGAGACACCACTTACTGATACTAGTAAGTCATTAATCACTGGACTGTTCTCTTACCAATACCTTGTAAACAAATTTCTCTGGTCAGATCAAGCCCAGCTTGCTTTGTGATTCATTTGTCAGTGGGCTTTCACTTCAGAAAAATCATTCTGATCATAGCTTATTCCTAGCATCAATGAAAAACAATAAGAGCTTTGTGACAGAGCTGCTTAAAGTTAATCTTCCTCTGAGATAATATGGAGCTAATGGTTTCACCTTGAAGATTCCACACAGGTTGCTTCGCATGAAGTGGTAACAAGTATCTGCTATTTACATCTTTCTAATCTATTTTGATGTTTATCTTTGCTTGTAGTGGTTGCCACTAGATGTCTGCTAGATCTGCAAAGTCCTTGGTTCCAGACAAGGCAGGATGATTTATGTTGTGCTGAAGATGTTAAAATCTTCTACATTATGTGGATCAATTTAACCTGGCTCCTACTTCTTCAAATATTTGAATTACAGTGCAGACATGCCTTCACAAACTTTGTTCCAGTTTACATTATCTAGTAAGCATTACACAGAATTCTCTTGTTGGGTTTGCAACTGTTAAGGCTCAGCATCTGTAAAGAATGAAACAGCTGTTCTAGTTGCACAGACATAACTGCTCTGAACTCTTTCAAAGATCCTCAAGTTCTATATTTTGAACAGAAGATCAAAATACTAAGAGATGCCAAAATGGTTTCCTTGATAAACAGGTATCAATCAGTACTTTAGTCTCTTCTGGAATTTCATTTATGACATCCCCTTTGCCAGAACAAAAGGACAGACACCTTGTTTTGCCTAGCAATTTTGAAAATGACAAAATTTTATGATAAACTGGGTTAAGAGCAAGGTTAACATCTAACTACAGCAAAAGATAGGAAAGGTAGGTTTGATTTAAAATGTGTTTCTTAAAAGACTGAATCCCCGAAACAGAAAGCACTAGCCGTTAGTTAGTAACTAACATGTAACTAACATGTTTAAGTTACATCTGCAAATTTCCCAATAAGTAATAAGTCAGGAGATGCAGCATTTGGGCAGGAATCAGCAAAGTTGGATTCCATTCACAAACTATGTACCTTTTTGGCTGAACTTCTTCATCTGTCCTATGGGGACAGTAATGTCCACCTTTTCCTGGACATACCGAATGAAAATTAGCACTAAGTATTGACAATATATTGTATTATAAATTTATGTTGGTCACATTTCTAAAAGTTTTGATGCAATGCAGTCACTTACTCAAACAGCTAAGAAAAAATTTTATTAACAAAACAATCATCATAATTTCTGACCTTCATTACTTCCTTGAGAAAAAAGAAAAACAAAAAACAACTCTTACTCCTCAATTTCCTGAAATCTGGGAACATAGAAATCTGATATAGATTCTAAACTCCATATTAAAATTAATTACAAGCTTAATAAGATCTCTATTGACTGAAGAAAAAGAAAAACGCTTCCTAAGCTTTTTTTCTTCAACTATGTAATCAAACAAATTAAGCACATTTTATCAAGGAATGCAGGTGTTACTTTAGATACAGAAATTATACAGGCTAAACAGAAGGATTATCTTCCTTAGCCGTCGTTCAGTCCTCTGAACTATGAAATTTGTTTTGACAACTCTTTAGAAAATGCTTCTAAAAACACAAAAACATCCAACTATCAAGATGGTTTAGTGTGTATGAAGACATTATTACTTAAATGTTTTCTAGAGTACCACTATTTATTTTATGGCTCTATTTATGAAATAAAAGCTCCCATACTAAGTAGCACATTTTCAGAACCATATATTATTCTCTTTAGACATATTGATGACGTATTACCCCCTGGTTATTATAAAGCAGTGTCATTTAACTAGCAGGACAGAAAAATATCTGCATTGCCAGAGAGTCTGCATATTGTTACACATTGCTAATAATAAAGGCCATATTTCTAGGTATTTACAGCCTAAAGTATGTGAAGGCCCACCCTTCTGTTACTTTGAAACACTTAACGTGTTATGTACCATGTAGGCTACCATCATACATGATTGTGTGCATAACAGATGTAATAGGAATGTTTAAAAATCACGTTAGAATGTTTTTATCTTGTATTTTAAACTTGAGCTACACCTCAAAGTAGATGAGTCACTTTGGCAATAAGCATTTGTTATCTGCTAAGCTGCTTCACCAGAAATAAAGTATTTACCATATACAATACATGTCCCCATTTTGAAGCTGAGGGACTAGGAACGATTCACATAGCTGTAAGGCTAAGGTAGTCTTCCCTTCTTTTTCAGTGTTGCAGATGATCTCAATTCCACTCTTGCAATCAGTCCTCAACAAGTGCTATACAATTAAAATAAAATCAATTTAGATAAATTTGCTAACATGAAATAAAACCCTATCAGACCTTACTATATTAAAACTACTGAAAACTTCAGGAACTGCTACTGACATAGGATTTCTTTGGAACAGCTTTTGTGTAGGTCTGTAAATGGAGATTTTGGAGATATTTAGAGTTCTTTCATATTTCTTAGAGCAATGACAGAGTAATTGTCCAAGAAATTAAAAGACTACACAAAAGCACTCTTTTAGCATGACTTAGCTTGTTCTCAAAACAAGGTTAGGAAAAGCAGTGTTATCTAGTAAGTGCTATCCGTGGTAAAGTAGGGTCACATTCAGCTAGAGTGTCATTTTACATATGGGGGCATCATTAAGAAACCTTAAGGCTACTAAAAATTTGTAACATACAGAACACTGGACTGACATCAGTTAGGCTCAAGTGCTTTTACTAAAATAATAGTCAATAGTGAAACAGTCAACACACTGAAGTTACAAAATATTAATGACTCAAGTTATTTAGGGAATATATCTACAAGTAAACTTGACCAAAAAATTGTATCTAGGTCAACAAGATTTGTAGGCACTTAACATTTAACTTTTCAAAGCTTAAGCAAGCACTAAGTTAAGCAACACCAGTGTAGTTGCCTTATTTTATGACATTTGGTTCTACAAAAACAAAGTTCCATATGCTCCTCTTGACAACTTGTATACAGTAAGTACTTAATTAAACAAATGTATACTGACAAACAATACCTCCTGGAATAGCTGATCTTCTAATGGTGACATATAAAGACAGGTGAAAAGAGCTTGATGGAAATACAGATCTTTACTGATATCTGGATGATTTATGCAAGATTTGATAAGAGCCATTGCCTCAGGGATGCGTTCACAGGCAATAAGGTATCTGGCACGCAGTTCAAAGAACAGTGGATTTTCAGAGCTTAAATATTTGTTAACTGTACAGAAAAGAAAGATTTAAAGGCAATTAGAATATGAAGTCCAAATAACAAATATATTTAAATGTAATGTTGTTTTTAATAGTGCAATGTCAACAAATAATATATAAAAAAAAGGCTCTGCTAAAGAAGCTATCAGATATTTAAATACCATCAAGAATCTGTCCTTCTGCTTGGAAATAGAAATCGTTATTTTTCTTACACCAGTAATCTAATTCAGTATTTTATTTCTAACAGATTAACACAAGGTGCTGCAAAGGATTAGTAAAATATACACTACATAGAAGCAGATATGAACATTTTTGAGAAAGCAAATTCCCTCCTTTCTCGGAACTCATATCTGGGTGATTGTCAGAAGTATAGGACTGACATCACTTCCAAGGCTATAATTCCAGATATTTAAAACAACTCAGGATACTCATTATCCACTAAAATGGAAGAGCTCAGAGTGATGAAGAAGTTAACTACAATTCACATGCTGTTGCTTTTAGTAGTTTTGAACACTTTGATTTTGCTGCTGAAGTGGAAAATAGACTTTTTCTTCTTCTAAAACTGCTACTGGGCACAGTTCTTACATCTAAATCCCTAAATATCTTTAAATTCTAACCCCCGATTTCTGGAAATCTGTTTTTCAGATCTAAAAGCTAATCTTAAAGCTAGCATTTGAATGAAAATACTTGTACTGAGATACTCAAAACACTTAAAACATTTAGGTAATTGGGAAATTATGAAATACATAAAAGACATGCTTGAGATCTTTTATAGATCATAGAAATTCTAGTATCTCAGGATTAAAATATCATTCAACAAAATACAATAATGCTGCTTTTATTTTGAGAATTGTTTGCATCTTGTCAAGTAAATGCACACTCTGAGGTGTCAAGTGTGTTAACGTTAATGTAATGTGTTGGACAATATGGGCTGATCTTCCTGTTATAGTGTCAACAGCTACCATAAGAGTTAGAACCCCATAATTTCTAGTGCATTCCCTGTAGTACTACTGTACAGTGTTTCATAATAAAGAGATTGTCAATTTAAAGTCAACAAAGGCTGAAGTGAGCACAGGAAGTTTATACCTTAGAGGGAACATGTATTAAGAAAGTTACAAGCAACTTAAAAGTGACACTTAATAGGACTAAAACCAAAAGTGGCTGCTGAAAAACACTATCTGAGCAGCCAAGCTATTTCCTTCCCTCCCCCCCCAAAAAAACCCCAAAGGATTATGTATATAACAGAAGTTAAACTTTTTTTTTTTTTAAATAATGACACCTGCTTTAAAAGACATTTCTTATGATCAGAAAAAAGGACTTCTGTAGTATCTTTATTTTTATGCAATCTAACGACATTATATGCTAATGAACACTTGAGGAATATTATTCAAGGTGATATAAGGTTTGTTAATAGATGCACTGTAAGGTCCACCATAAGAAAATCTCATTCCCACTATTGATTAGCACTTCTGAGTATAAATTTAGTAAAGATGATTGGAAGAAAAGCCAGTGTCTAACAGTAGTCATTAACTGCAAGAAAAAGTGATTATATGGAAAACTCCTTTATGCCAAGGCCTCTCCTTTGGAATTAACATAAATAAGATGATAAACCCCATCACCACTTTCATATGCAAACATTATCCAACAGATCACTGAATATTCACACTGAAAAATTAGGCCAGGAATACTTAGTTTTCATTAAGTGCTGATGTCAAGAAAATGGTGCTTATCTAATAACTGGTTGCATCATCATTTTCACTCAAACAAGGGAAGACTGCAGACCACAGTACAAGTGACACCTCTCTAGAGATAGGGTAGGAAGGGGGAGCCCAGGAACTACAGGCTTGTCAGCCACAGAGCAGATCAGCCTAAGTGAGATCATAAAGCATGTGTGGGAAAATGGGGGGATCAGGCCCAGTCAGCATGGGTTCATGGAAGGCAGGTCCTGCTTGACCAACCTAATCTCCTTCTATGACAAGGTAACCTGCCTGGTTGATGAGGGAAAGGCTGTAGACATTTGTCTATTTGGACTTTAGTAAAGCATTTGACACTGTCTCCAACAGCATTATGCTGGAGAAACTGGCTGGGTTGGAAACCGTCTGGATGGCAGAGCCCTAAGAGTGGTGGTACATGGTGTCACATCTAGTTAGTGTTTGGTCACTAGTGGTGTCCCTCAGGGCTTGGTGTTAGGGCCAGTGTTCTTTAATATCTTTATTGATGATCTGGATGAAGGGATCGAGTACCCTCAGTAAATCTGCAGATGACACCAAGTTGGCTGGGAGTGTTGATCTGCTGGAGGACATGAAGGCTCTGCAGAGGGATCTGGACAGGCTGGATTGATGGGCTGTGGCCAATGGTATGAGATTCAACAGGGTAAGGTGCCAAGTTCTGCACCTGGGTGACAACAACCCCACACAACGCTACAGGCTCAGGCAAGAGTGGCTGGAAAGCCAACAGCATCCTGGCCTGTACCAGCAATAGTGTGGCAGCAGGACAAGGGCAGTGATCACCCCCTGTACTGGGCACTGGTGATGGTGCACCTTGAATACTTTGTTCAGGCTTGGACCCCTCACTAGAAGAGAGACATTGAGGTACTGGAGTGGGGCCAGAGAAGGGCAACAAAGCTGGTGAAAGGTCTGGAGCACAAGTCCTATGAGTAACAGCTGAGGGAACTGGGGGTGTTTAGTACGGAGAAGGCTGAGGGGGGACTTTTTCACTCTACAACTGCCTGAAAGGAGGACAGAGAAAGGAGGTGGCTGGTCTCTTCTCCCAAGTAACAAGTGATAGGACAAGAGGAAAAGGCCCCAAGCTGCACCAGGGGAGATTTAGACTGGATATTAGGAAAAATTTCTTCTCTGAAAGGGTGCTCAGGCATTGGAACAGG